GAAGTCGTCATTGAAAGAGTACGCGCTAGCAAATCGTCATAGTCAGGGATTGGAAGACACACACACACACACACACACACACACACACACACACACACACACACACACACTATAAACCACCCCTCTATAGCTCATCTAAAGGACATCACGTCGCCATTTCAAGAACCATCCATCAACTCTGGTGAAGAACCAATACCGAATGCTTCCAGCACCAGAGCGAGCCCATCAAAACAAAGTCAGAGTAGCCAGAAGGACTTACCCATGCCACCTTTTTCGGATTTTTTTAGCATTTAGAAATGTGTTTTTCAAAATGGGTTCATATATACCCAGGTTCATCCATGCACTTCCCTTATTATGACGCTCTAACATCTTTGCTTCCTTGCTATCCTCATTGACAGCTTGACCCCGCCTGTCAGCGTGGATCCATGGTCAGCCACACCTCGAGAGCCCGTGGACGAAGCACCTAAGGTGGACTTGCACGACGCTGTGTAGGATGGCATGTCCTGGCATGGCCTTGAAATCGTCTATGCGTTGCCATCACCTACTAGCTACTCACTCCATATCACATATAATCTTCAGTTTGGATATTGACACGGTCTTCAAGATTTACCTTCGACCACAAGTTTTAATCTAGAATGTACTTATAGCTAGTTCAAGAAATTTACTGTGCCGTGGATATACTTTTTGAGACAGCTTTAAGCATATAATTTACTAATTGTCAATCTAAATGTTTCAAAGAATATTTATAGTTCACATTTTAAAGTTCAACATAAAAATATTCTAAATGACATAGGTTTGTGGTAAGTATGTGTGATGTGAAACCAACCTATGGTTGGTTGGTTGTACCCCAGCCCACCAGGGATTAAACCGCAGGTCGACCCTTTTTTTGAGTAAACCTCAGGTTTGACAATTGTGTGTCAAATAAATGCGGAATGTTCTTTTAGCGGGGAGCGGGCAAGCGGCATTCTGTCTATGGTCAGGTGACTCGCCGGTTTAGCCATTCAAAGGTGCTCATAAAAATAAAACGTTCATGCATGCATTTATCGGGATGAGTGTATATGTGTGAATATGAATGCCTACATTTGTATTGTGGTGCTAAAAATAATAGAGGAAGGAACTATCATCCTTGGACCCCACAAAAATGAATAAACAATTGAGCACGGTCTTAAATAACTCCTTCTGTTTCATATTCAACACCACTTTCTATTTGTATGTCTAACTTTGATCATTAATATTGTCTATAAAATATGAGTTATGTGCCACAAAAGTATGTCATTGGATGCACTTTTTTAAAGAACTTTCTGATGATATAGTTTTGATGACATATAACCCATATTTTGTTGACCAAAATTATAAATCAAAGCTTGACACAAAAAATAAAGTGAGCCTATATACAAAAACGGAGGGAGTATGAGGTATCATCGTACGTGGTGCATGGAGTTCTTCATCCACCAGCCATGGGGATTAACTGGACAAAAAGTTGTTTTTGCAACAGCATCACAGTCGATCGTTGGCACAACCGTGGTGCGAAAAGCATTGATATCTAACTAGAGTGATAGCTACTTTCTCTGTTTCAAAATAAGTGTCGTGAACTAAAATCACGACAATTATTTTGAAATAGTGGAGTGCATTGTTGGTCCCTAAACTATTTCACGGGTGCCATGTAGGTCCTCAAGCTATGAAAATCAGCATCTAGGACCTCAAATTGCAGTAAGTGTGTCATTCAGGTCAAAAATCTGTCCGCCCCCGCCTGACGAGCCAGCTAACGCCTTTGATCCGTGACACGTCGGATAAGGGCCCCGCAAGGTAACGGCCGGTGACAGAAATATGCACATAAATTCAAATAAATTCCAGGGAATGATAAATGCACTTCAGCCCAAATAAATTCAAATTCTTGTTTTCAAAAAAAAATTTCGATAAAGGAAAAAATGTTCAAGACTTTAAAAAAATGTTTGCGAATGATAATTTTGAAAATGTGTTCACAAACCACAAATTAAGGAACATTTAAAGTCGCGAACGATAAATTTGAAAACGTTACTAATATTTTTAAAGTTGTGAACAATTTTCACTATTCACAAACATTTTTTGAGATATTGAACTTTAAATTAATGAACATTTTGTAATTCATAAACATATTATCAAATTCATGAACATTCTTTTAACTCCAAACGTTTTTGGAAAACTGTGAACATTTTAAAATTCATGATAAATTAAAAAAATCACCATTTTAAAAAAATTAATGAACATTTATGAAATTTGTGTAATTTTTTTTCAAATTCATAATCCACGAACATTTGTTTTTTCATATTTGCGAAGATATTTTGTGGTTCGTGAACATATTCTGAAATTAACATTCGTGAATAATATTGGTGGTTTGCGAACATATAAATTATTTTCTTTTAACATTTATCGTTCGCAAAGGGAAGGACCCATCTTTAACAAAAGGGGAAGCACAGTTTGTGTCCTCAGTTCTTGCTATCTCTTGCAAGAGTGACACTCCATGGCCCGGAGCGAGGGGTCGCCTCAACGGCAAGTCGACCCCATTCGGAGATGGTTCAGTGTCTTTGATGCTACGAGGTCCGATGGTTTCTCAAGGAGGCGTGGTTTCAGTCTTGTTGAGTAGTTTAAGTCATCTATTTTTAAGTGCGTTGTCTCCTATTTTCATGCATGGTGTTGGGCTATTGGCATCTATGACACTGGCTTGAGTGCCTTTTGTTTTACCTGCTTGTCTGAAGATTTTCTCACCACTTTATATCAGTTCGGAGGCTTAGGGGAAGCCTATTTCAAGAACAGGGGCCATGCACGTGTGTTTGCATATATTATCGCTAATTACCTGGTCCCGGCTTAATGCTTCCTTGATCGTTAGAGGGCCAGACCCCTGCTCGCCTCCTCTTGGCTTCGCCACTGTGGATCTAATGATAGCGGTACTCACATGTTGTTCCCTTCTTGGAGGCCTCGTCATTGTAACATTTTCACGCTCGGGGTGCTGTCATCGGTGAAGATTGATGTTAATGGTTGCAACTGCATGCTTGAGTTTGCTTCAACAAGACTTTTAGCGCTCACCTTTCTTTCTTTCTTTCTTTCTTTCTTTGTGCGCGTTGGTGTTGTTCATGTACATCTTAATCATGCAAAGAACGGGTTCATGCTCATAATACTCGTATTTTCTTGATGCGACGTTACGAATTAATATAATTCAGCTTTTATGAAAAAAAAATGTCGGGCCATTCATTTATTCAGCCCAAGGTAAGGACTAACGTCAAAGAAAAAGAAAGGCACATCATCTAAAAAGAGTAAAAGAAAGGCCCAAGATAAGGAGTAGCAGCCCATCCACCCACCTCCTGGTGGTCGCCCGTCCCATTGGCGCATCTCGCCCCCGTTCGGCGGCGGCGGCGGCGTAGATCCGGCGTGGCGTTGCGCCCCCGTTCCTCGCCCCTCGTCGCTCCGCAGCGCCCGCGCTCCCCAAGGCCGCAGCACGCGAGCGGCGCGGCCTTCGTTGGTTATTGAAGAAACAACACTCCGTAAGTTATTTTGGCTTCCCGTTTCATGAGATTTGTTCGCACAGATTGTTCAATTCTGTCGGCTATCAGATTGCCCCATGTATCGTGATTTCTACCGTTCAATTCTGTAAGTTACTGAAGAACCAGTATCGTGATTTGTATCCTTCAATTCCGTCGGCTATCAGATTGCCCCATGAGCCCCATGAGGACTAATGAGATTTTTTTTGTGACAATAGGAGATTATAATACTGTATGTTCTACAGAGTACTCTGTAGTTGTAGTTAATCTTAATGCTGGTCGCCTGCTTTTTACATCCAGTTGCTTAACTGAATCCAGTTTAGTAGTACTACTCTGTTATTCTCTAGCTCTGCAGCGCTAATTTCGCAGAATTAATCTTTTCCTAGCTACCATGTTGACCAAAGTCTTGTACTTTTTTTTGAAACTGTCACTGGGGGAGACTCCCCACCTGAATATATTTCGAAAAGTAATAGTTCAGACAAGATGAGAGGTGAAAAAAATCCCGCCACAATCCGGCGTGGATTTTTTGATCCGCCTTTTTAAGGCGGTGAGACCATAGAGTGAGGTCAGAGATAATAGCCCTAATTACATCATATGGAGAAGGGGACAAGTCCCTAAAGGTTTTGGTGTTGCGAGCGTCCCAAATTTTCCATAATATGAGTAGCAGTATAAAAGGCCAGACTGACTGAGGTAGGCCGTGCTGAACCGGCGCATTCCACAAGTCAGACAGGGGAGAGTGACGGGGCAGCAGCCCAATGGCAGCCCAAATGGAGGCAGCCATCGGACATGTGAAGAAGTGGTGAGCACGGTCTTCTGGCGCGGCGTTACAACACGGGCACAACGGAGAGTCGATGATGGTCTTGCGATGTAGATTTGCCCGCGTGTTTAACCTGTCCAGATAGAATAGCCAGCCAAACACCCGAACCCTAGTAGGATCACGAGAGTCCCAGATGTGGGTAAGAGATGGATCCGATAGCTAGGACTCAAGAGCAGCGTAGGCGCCATTAGTGGAAAAAGCGGCGCCGTTAAGCAAGGACCTGTCGTCGGGTACTCCTGTAACGCACACTCCCTGCAACAAAGATCTCAAGGAAGCAAGTTCATTGGTAGCGGTTAAGGTTAGCATTGTAGTTAATTTTGGAACTAGAATGACATAACTGCTAAATCTGCATTTTGTGCTTGCAGCATGGGACATGGTTGCTCTTTGAGATCACAAATTAGGTTATTGTAACACATGTCAAATGATAATCAAGCCTTTCAGCTTACCAACTCAGTAGTCAAGTTCAGTTCTTTCTGTTCATACAAACATACCGGACTTGCTTCGCTAAACTGATATCTCTTGCTGATTTCTTATTTATTTTTTGTTATGAAGAAGCAACTTAGGGCGCTGTTTAATTTTTGCATGTATTGTAGTTTCAGTGATATGTGGTAGACTACACGCTAATTTAGGCTCCCTGTCTTCTGGAATTGCTAGGCCGTTCTGAAGAAATGAGTGCGTGTAAGAAGGCCAGGGCGGAAGCTACATATGTTGTGAGTTCAGACAGACTTAGCAGTCTACCTCCAGAGTTAAAGGGCGACATCCTTTCCCGTCTGAATGTCGAAGAAGCGGTTAAGACTAGCACCTTATCAAGTACTTGGAGGGATGCATGGACTAATATGCCAAAAATATTTCTGCGCGATGGAAATTTTGCAAGAACCAAGTTCGTCACATTAGTTGATATGGTGCTATCACTCCACAACGGAACTGTAGATATGTTTGACATTTCAGGTAGCAAAACTTACCATGATGAGTTCGGTAGGTGGATGCGCATGCTTTCTAGGAGATCACCAAGATCAGTTACAATCAGGTTGAACTCAGGGCCAGGGTATAGGATTCCTTCATGTCTATTTTCTATCGGCGATTTGAGGGTTCTGCACCTGCAAAACTGCGTCATCAGCTTGCCCCGGGTATTCCAAGGTTTCAAGAGATTAACTCACCTGGACATGAAAAATTTCTCCTCCACAGACATGGACATCCAAAATCTGGTCTCCTTCTGCCCCGTACTGAGTTGTTTGAAACTAGCTTCTTTTGAGGGCATCAACTATCTAAACGTTCAAGCTCCTAAACTGAAACGTCTTCATGTTTTTGCGGACTTTGAAGACATTAATTTAGATGCCCCTAATTTGGAGGTGGCCATTCTCTCTCTTGCTCATGAAGCTAAAGCACATCAATCTGTTCCAATTGCGCATGACATGGAAAGCCATGTCAAGAAGTCATTGGGAGACCTAAGTGGCATCAAAACACTTGGAATTAGTGGCATTTTCATGAAGGTAAGCTATTATTAGCTCCACCATTGCTATGGCCTTCTTCTGCATCCCGAGTTCCTGACTAATCTCTGTTGCCACTTCTTTAATTTATTGTTGCAGTATATATCAAAATGGTGCATACTTACAAAGTTCCCTGCCGTATTTCATCGCCTCGAGCATATTTATCTTGTGATATGCTTTTGGGACCAGAGGCAAGTCTTGGCCACTTGTTCGCTGTTTCAGAATGCCCCTAACTTAAAGAAGCTTGACATGTGGGTAAGTCTGCCTCCAGTAAATCCTCTCCCTCCCTCAGTTATCCAATCCATGTTCATTCTTGTATTTATGTCACCTAATAACTTGTGAAAAAAAATTCAGGATCACTCTTCGAGCACATTGGATCAGGATCAGGCGAGCATTCAAGAGCTTACCATGCAAGTGCAACTGGATCATCTCGTAACAGCCAGTGTGAAAGATTTCAGGGGCCTGGACTGCGAAGTCAATTTCCTGGCAAAGCTACTGAGTTGGGCGCCGGCTCTGGAAGAAGTGAAGATAGAATGGACGGGCAAAACAGAGTGCAGCATGGTTCTTGCCAAGCTATTAGCTCTGCCAAGGGTGTCTCCCAGGGCCAAGGTCATTGTTACTTTTTTATAAGCATGCATCCCTGCAGTCTACAGAGCATCCCCCATCACTTTGCCGGTTTAATTTGCAGCCAAGTAGAACTATTTCAGCTTTTTTTATGCCAAGACTAGATGGTGGTTATATATGTGTGCATTTGACACAATTCATCAGGCAGAGGGAGTACTTAATGTGCTACTATTAGCAAATGTTTTCCTTTCTTGAGCCGGAGACACACAAGCCGCTGCTGCCCTTCCTCAACTGTGCCAGTTCAGCTAGTCCTTTTTTGTCCCTTTGTTCTGCGTATCGTAAATTCCTGCTTATAGCAAATGAGACAAATATATCTTTCCAATTCCGGGGTGCTCCGCATTGCGTGTACCAATTCATGAAACCCCCCAGCCCCTGAAAATTGAATGTCCATTGGTAGTCCAATTCATGAGTATTCAGTATTTGCCGAAAGATTATGTGCGTATTTTTTTGAGGGGTTTATTTTTTTTGAGGAGTTTATGTGCGTATATCTTTTAGGAGATCATGTGCGATATATGGTATATAACATGAGAAAAAGGAAAAGCGGCCGCTATTTATTCAGCATTCAGCCCAATATAACCCACCTACCCTGACACCACATGGCCGAGTGGCCCAATGTGTCCCCAGGGTTTCCAAGCGCGGCGGCTCAAGCATCCGGCGTGGCGTCACGGCGGCATCTGCGCTCCGGCTCGGTCTGCAGGCCGTGTTGGGCAGCGCCCGCCCGCAAGCCCAAGCCTGCAACTCCATAGCGTCGCCTTCCCGTTCTTTGTCGCTCCTGCAGCAACTCCGTATGCTCGGTTTGCTGCCAGTTTATAGTATTACTGTAACTGCATAACCTGATATGGTTAAGTTCATGAGCCCCGTGAGGATTAATTAATGACTAGCAACCGAGGCTTGTTTCGATTCTAGTTGATCTTACTGCTGTTCACATACTTGTTTAGATTCAGTTGCTTAACTGAATCCAGTTTAGTACTACTCTGTTACCTACTCCCTTAGTCCTGAATTACTTGTCTTATACGGATGCCGTATCTAAACACGTTTTAGTATTTTTTATTCTCTAGCACTGCAGTGCTAATTTCTCAGAATTAACATTTTCCTAACTAGCACGTTGATTTGGCACACATAAAGTTTGTTAACTGTCGGTTGAAATCTAATCTTGTAATTATTATTGCCACACATAATCGTTGATTCAACTAGTGGCATGATTTTAAGCTAGTACATGTCAATCATGCTTATAGTTAATGTTGGAATAATCAAGCTTTTCAGTTCACCAACTCCAGTAGTTGAGTTCAGTTCTGTGAATGGAAACACACTAGACTTGTCTCCCTAAACTCCCATCTCTCAGTTGTAGTTTATTTTGTTTTTCTATGAACAAGCAACTTAGCAAACCATTTACTTTTTGCATGTATTGTATTTTCAGTAATATGTGGTAGAATCGATGTTTTGGAAATGAATTAATTCCATTTTTACCCCCATGATTCACCCTTTTGACAGATTTTACCCATTTTTGAGAAAATCCTCAATTTATACCCCCATTTATCACCTTTGTGGCACATTTTACCCCCTTGTGACAGAATTGACCCCCAATTTGTTGCTGATTTGACATGCCACGTAGGCGGTTCAGTACCGTCATGCTACGATTGCCAATACCATTATGCTCGCTCAGGTTAAGTACTTCATTAAATCACCACGTGCAATCCAGGGCAGGTTGCTTGTAGCAGCAATACCCTTAATAGTATCCCATGTTTTGTACCTTTCTGGAATTTGTTCCTCACCATAAACAAGAGTTACACACCACAGTTCAGGACCAACACCATCTATCTTAGCATCTATGTGATACTGGGAATAACTTAAAACTTCGAGCTTTATTAGATTGTTCCAAAAGAGACCAAGTCCACCACTCCTACCAGAGCTACTAACTGCAAAACTACAATGAAAATCCAAAGAAGGCTGGCTATTCAAGCATTCAGTCAGACTAGCCTACCACGCCTCCCTACTCATACATGGCCCAGTGGCCCAGTCTCTCCTCAAGCCCAATTCTGAAGCCACTACGAAATTGGAACCCTATCCTTTAAAAGGAAAAAAGAGAGGAAATTGGAACCCTAACCACGGCACGGCAGCAGGGCCCGGCCGGCGGCGCTCCTGCGTACGCATCCGGCCTGGCGTCGCGGCGACGTCCTCGCCCTTCTGTCCTCAGCGCTCCATCTTGGCGGTAGGCCGTGCTTGGCGGTGTCCAAGGCCCCACCAGGCGAGCGGCGTCATCTCCTCCCGTTATTCAGCGCTCCTGCAGCAACTGAGCGCGAGCGTCGTTGAGCCACATCGAACACCAAGAAGAGACATTGGAGTAAGTTGATTTGGCTTCCTATTTCATGAGTCGAACAATTTCAAGTTTTTTTATCAGTTGTATGAATCTATGCCCAAACCTGTGCTACATCTGTTGTACAATTAGTTGTACTGCATATGGTGTTATAATGTTGTTCAGATGCTTGTTTAGATTTCTTGCTTAACTTAATCCAGTTTATTACTACTATATTATTTACATTGTATTTTTCTATCTCTAACATCTAAAGTGACAATCTCGTTGGATTAATCTTTTCCTAGCTAGCATGTTGATTTGGTAAGAAAATTAGTTAATTGTCGGTTGGACCTTAGTATAGTGCATAGTATGCCAGACATAATCGTTGATCAAATTAGGACAGTCGTGACTGAGTAACCATGACTATAAGCTATTGCATCCCGATCATACTTATATTTAATGTTGGAATAATCAAGCTTTTCAGCCTACCTACACCAGTAGTCGAGTTCAGTTCTGTTAATAGAAACATGCCGGCTTGACTTGTTTCAAGAAACTCCCATCTTTTGACTGTTGCTTATTTTTTGTTTTGCCTTGAATAGGCAACTTACGCAGTGCACCATTTAATATTTGTATGTAGTGATATGTGGTAGAATCCTCGCTTATTTAGGCACCCCGTCTTTTGGAAATGCTACAACAGTTTTATCTGGATTCTGAAGCAATGAGTACCTGCAAAAAGACCAGGGCAGAAGCTACATCTGTTGTGAGTTCAGACAGACTGAGCAGTCTACCTCCAAAGATAAAGGGCAACGTCCTCTCCCGTTTGGATGTCAGAGAAGCGGTTGGCACTAGCACCTTATCAAGTACTTGGAGGGATGCATGGACAGATATGCCAAAAATATCTTTGCGCGATAGAAATTTTATGCGAACCAGGTTCGTTACGTTGGTCGATATGGTGCTAGCACTCCAAAAGGGAACCATAGAAGAGTTTGATATATCAGGTAAAAAAAGTTACCATGATGAGCTCGCTAGGTGGATGCTCATGCTGTCAAGGAGATCACCAAGGTCAGTTACAATCAAGTTGAACTCAGGACCAAGGTATAAGATTTCCTCATGCCTCTTTTCTATCGGTGATTTGAAGTTTCTGCAACTGGAAAACTGCATCATCAGCTTGCCCCGGGCATTCCAAGGTTTCAAGAGCCTAACTTACCTGAGCCTAAACATTTTCTCATCCACAGACAGGGATATCCAAAATCTGATCTCGTTCTGCCCCGTCTTGACTGATTTGATATTAACTTCTTTTGTAGGCATCAACCGACTAAACATTCAAGCTCCTAAGCTAGAATATCTTAATGTATATGGGGACTTTGAAGACATTAATTTGGAGGCCCCTAATCTGAAGGTGGCCATTCTCTATCTAGGTCACCAAGCTAAACTATATCAGTCTGTTCCAATTGGGTATGACAAGGAAAACCATGTCAAGAAGTCATTGGGAAGCCTAAGTGAGATCAAGACACTTGGAATTACTGGCAGTTTCATGAAGGTGAGCTATTATTAGCTCCAGCATTGCTATGGTATTCTTCTGCCTTCTGACTAATCTGTGTTGACATTGTTTTCTTGTTCCAGTATCTATCAAAAGGGTGCATACTCACGAAGCTCCCAGTTGTGTTTACTCGCCTTGAGGATATTTATCTTACGATATGCTTTTGGGACCAGAGGCAAGTCTTGACCGCTTATTCATTATTTCAGAATGCTCCTAACTTGAAGAAGCTTGCGGTGTGGGTACGTATGCCAGCAAATCCTCTCCCTCCCTCACTCACCCAATCCATGTTTGTTGTGTTTGCGGC